CAATTCATACGCAATATTTTACTTGCCTTCAAAAAGAACAAAAAAGAAAACATTAATATAGAAACTACTGTGGACCCTATGTCTAATTTTTTTATCACATTTTTCTCCGAAAAGAGCAAAAAGGAAGCAAATGCAGACAAAGTTAATAAAAGTAACGGCAATATAACGTCAAGTCCAATATATGATACCAAAATTCATGAGGAACCGAAATCTCTACACATCAATAATAATCCTCTTCCTACTGCGTCAGATAATAGTTCAAAAATTCCATCTGTATCAATAAACTCTTCTGAAAGTAATATTTATATTTTAAGAATAAACTCGTTAAATGATAAATCTCAGGACGACTCTTCATCCATGAGTAAAGATTCTTCTACTGCATCAAATTCTGGCTCAAGAGCATCATCCTTCTATGAAAGACCGTTAGAAAGCCGTTTTCTACAGTTAGAGAAGGAATTTAAAAAGCAGAAGGAAAAATTAAAGAGATTGGAAGATGAGTCAAAAATGAAACATCAAGCATTGCGAAAGCAAAACGAGGCCTTAAAAGAAAAACTGCAAACTTTGGAAGAAACTTTGAAGGATAAATGGAGAAAAAAACAATCAAGTTGTAAACATACCAAGCTAGCTAGAGTTGGTCGGTTTACAATCCATTTAGTAAAAAATACTTCCTTATAATAACAGTCCAAAACAAAAAGCTTATTACATTGTACTTGTAAGAAAATTTTTTGTCTGTACTGCAGTATTCTAATTAGAAAGAGATTTTGTGTTTGTTTTGTCCGAATAACTGTGAAGAGTGGAGTTAATTATATATCGTTAATAAAAATGGTAATAAAAATAATTGGGCTAAAGCGGAGGGAAGCGGAGTTGAATATCTAATAACCATATTCTATGAAGGTCGACAGATGTGATATGCGAAAAGCCAAACCAAAGATTTGCAGATGTCCGGCTCCCATTGCATTAATCAATAATCAATGCTTATCACTATCCTCTGTAAAAACTGTATCGAAGTCTTCTAAAAAGCAAAAAGGATTTTAAACAAAGTCGCAAGAAATGATGTTAAAGGGAAAAGATTAGCTTAAGTGAACATCATGGTCGGCGTAAACGACAGCATATTAACGAGAATATGATTAAAAATTATATTTTAACCATAATATTATTGTATATGAGTGCTGCAAAAAGAAAACCTGACTCCAGTTTTTTGCATAAAAAACGTATCAGAAGATAGAAACCAAAATTCAGCAGATCGATTAAAATCCAGAGTCAAAATAGACCGGTATTGATAAATTTCTCCCTAAATCACCTAAAATTTTTCTAATAAAATGTTAGCCCACGTATTAAGAAAAGCTGCCAAGATAATAATTTTATCGTAGTATAGTTCGATCGGTATTATTGCTTAATGCTGGTGTCATGTTCAAATTGTTCTTTTTAGTTAGTATAATTATTTATGTATTTCTTATTTTGGATAGTTCGTGGCATAGTTTGGTGATTAAAGCCCTCAACGAGGGATACGAGTTAAAGGTATATAAGGGTGTAGTTTCAGTTTATGAAGAAGGGAACGATTGTTAACGGTTATTGATAGTATTTAGTATTATTGGTATATTCCTATGAATTCATTTATGTTAATAAAGAGAACCTTATATCCTTAATTGTGTGTGTTTATTGATTTAAACCATTTGACCTCAATTACTATTTTGTTCATGATTAGCGTTGCCAACAAAATTACGTATGATTAATTATCACATACTATAACATATGTTTATTGCGTGTGAATTAATAAATTACTATGTACCGGTAGTTATTTCCTTGTGATGATTAAGTAATTTTTGTTGGCAACGCTAATCTGTTGAAATTTGGGTGCACCACTAATCTT